GCTTTTGAGCATAAAAAAACATTCAAAAGTGCGTTAATGCGTGTTAATGTGCATTAACAGGAAATAACGCTAGTTATTGCCTGGTGCGTTCACGCATGTTAATGTATTCTAATGGCCAGAATTCTGGCCAATAGAATACATTAATGCCAGATGTGAGAACATGTATTAATGCCCATGCAAAAACGTAACGTAAAAAAAAATAGCTTTTGATGTTGTTCTTGATGTTGTAAACTCCCTCAGTCCTCATGTACACTGGGCGTTTTACAAATGCCGGTAGCGTTAGCTGTATAAGTTGTTTTAAAAACACAAGTTTTTCAGCATTTTTTTGTGTTTTTGCATTAGTGTTTTGCTGCGTTTTTCCACATTAGCGGTTTTTTTTTTAGAAAAAGTTTTGGCTAAAAAAAAAGCTCAAAAACGCTGGTTTAATAAAACCGATTAACCGTTTCAATACCGTGCAATTTTACACCTTCCTGCCCAGGCCATTTTTCAGGTTTCAGCGCTCTCACACTTTGAATGACAATTGCGCGGTCATACAACAACACTGTACCCAAACTAAAATTTTATCATTTTCTTCACACAACTAGAGCTTTCTTTTGGTGGTATTTAATGGGGTTTTTATTTTTTTGCTAAATTAACAAAAAAAGACCAAAAATTTTGAAAAAAAAACACATTTTTCTTTGTTTCTGTTATAAAAGTTTACAAATAAATAATTGTTCTTCATAAATTTAGGCCGAGATGTATTCTGCTACATGTCTTTGGTGAAAATAACTCAAATTAGGATGTATTTTTTAGTTTTTAGGAAAGTTATAGAGTTCACAAACTATGGTATAGATCTGAAAATTGATCAATCCTGAAGTACTGAAGGCCAATCTAATTTCTTGAGGTCCAAGAATGTCAGAATAGTACAGATATCCCCAAATGACCCCTTTTTGCAGAGTAGACAGTCCGACGTACTTCATAAGAGGCATGGCGAGTTTTTTTGAAGTTGTATTTTTTTGTCATAATTTTTCGGAAAATGAAAAAATGAAAAAAATTATTTTCACAATTTTTTTTTTTACATACTGTCACCAGTGCAGTACAGCGTCATCATATAACTGGCATGGCAGTGAACAGGGACACTGACTGGTGACAGTATGAAAAAAAAAATATATATATATTTTTTTTTTTATTTTTTTTTTTTTTTTATTATATTTAATTTTTTATTACATTTTTTTTTATTTTTTTTAAGATTTTTTTTCATATTTTACTATGACCAAAATAGTACAATGTTACCATAGTAACATTGTACTACTTTGGGGAAGTGATCAGTATTTTTTTTTTTTTACACAATTTGCTTATAGCAAAGAATTACTTTGCTATAAGCAAGCATTTACCTGAATGACATCGATTCATTCAGCTTTTTTTTTGTGTGCTTAGCTGTGATTTGGTCACAGCTAATCACATGACATGTGCATGTGATTAGCTGTGACCATTCACAGCTAGGCACTAGTATACAATGGATGGCATCATGAATGAAGCCATCCATTGTATACAACTGTCATGTGACCTGCTGTGATTGGTCACAGCAGGTCACATGGTACCAGCAACGGGAGCCGGTACTCGGATCTGTCATCGGCCGTGTCCGAGGTGCACGGCTGATGACAGATCGCACTGCTGCGCCGCTCTGCACTAGCGCAAACGGCGCATGTGCGGGAGCACGCCAAATGGCGTGTACCCGGAACGGAGAGACACTTCTGAAGCCGCCAAACGGCCATTGGCCGGGCGGCTAATGGTTAAAGCCTATGTGTGCATGGACACATAGAATAACTTGCTGGGGAGTTTACTGGCTGTAGAAAAAAAAAAATACCAAAAGTCAAAAACAGGAGCTGTAAAAATGTCCAGTGTGCATGAGGCCTCAGTCTTAGAAAATTTGCTTTCCAGTATGTGCTTGTTGTTTACAGCTTATATTAAATGAAATCGTGTTACTTTCACTGCTTCCAAATTTTCTTTTATATACTTATATAGTTTAATACTAAATGCCGCATTGTTTAAAATTTAAGTCCAGCAGAACATCATTTCTACTAATAGCTTTTATAAACTGCAATAAAATTATCGTATAATAGGTTTATAAATTCCTCTCAATCACTGTTTCAGCAGTGACATTATTACTGTCAATGCATGAAATAGTCAACTGATGATGTTAGAACCTTGGGTAAATGGTGCTTTAGCATTTCAAATTGAATTTATCACAACTCTACTAATAATAACACAGTGGGGACATATGAGTGACATGTTGATGTTACACTGAGTAGTGACCACAGAAACTTTGGGGTGTAAATTCAATGTCTGAGCTTAAAAATCCAAGCGTCACACCAAACTAGAGTTTTATTTCAAATACTAAATAAGTGCAAATACTAGCAAATTTTTGGGCGCCACACAATGCCTCCTTTATCAGGGCGTAAAGTAAATATGAAATCAGGTGGTATGCAGGGTTGTAATTTAAAAACTTTACATCTAAAAGAACGCAGTCATGTTCAGCAGTCTGTGCAAAAAAAGGGGGGGGGGGGGGGTGTTACGAGCGCTTGGATACAGTGTAAGCAGCTAGCATATAGGCACAACCTCTCAACCTCCAAAATGAATATGTTAAAAAATGCAGCGCTATGAGTAGGGGTATGTAATAGATACTCAGAGAACCAAAAAGATATACATATATAAGTGCTGTGTACAGCGTTAGTATAACAATAATTGCAAAACGTCTGTTATCGTGACACTAGAAAGTGCACATAGTGACATATATTCTGTAGGGTATCACATCCCGCGATGTGATGATACACCGTCCAAACATAAAGGTGAATAGCAGTGACTCCTGACATCTGCGCCTTTGAGTAGTCAGACCACTCCTGGTCCTCTGGAACTGGAAGGGCAAGAATCAGGTGATCATCTGGCAAACCAGCAGCATGACAGGTGATCAGCATGTCATCTACTACAATTGTAGTTAATCATCCATCCAGCAGGGGGTCATAGCTCAGCCATCCAGTATGGTATCCTCACAGTGATAGGTATGGGGCACCAAAATAGGAATCCACCTTGAAAGGAGGGGCTTGTAATGTAGCAAGCATAAACAGAGACTTTGATAGTGCAGTATTTTTAAATCTTTATTGGTATCTTAGTAAGGTAGATGTGAACTCACATTCATTATGGGATACAGCAGTAATAAAGATGGCCGCCGGCCTCCGCGTGGCTCGAACGGCGTGACATCACCGGCCAGGCTCCACTCTGATGCGTTTCATGCTTACAAGCACGTTATCAAAGGGAGCTCGCACTAGCTGACTGAAATTATTTATAGTATAATCCGCGCATGTGCGGTAAGGAGCGGTGATACCATTTTTGGCCCGCTCGCGCACACGCAATACATACAGGAGCGGTCATTTTATTGGCTGTCATTATACCAACAGAAGACCCGGACAAACATGCAAGGATTAACGTTCTGTCCTTCTGAATAACAGCCTCATATTTTCCAAACGCTTATCAAAAAGCCTCAAGGGGTGAATAAGAGGCATTTCAGATAATAAAATGTAATATAATAACTGTGAATCTGTGCTTCCATCGAACCGAATAGAAACACAAGAAATTCAGGAAAATCCAAAAACGGGGACTCCATTTTACTGTAGCGTGGGTATACAAATCATAGGTTAGAATTGCTAATTAATTAATGACATGGAACTGCTAATTCCAAATTGCACTAATCCGTTAAAGGTCCTCTGATGGTAAAAAACAAAACAATAATTTTACATAAAAGATTCCATATGTCATATAAAAATGTATATAAAATCACAACTCATAAAATTAGATAAAATGAATGCATAGCTAATTAAAATGTGTCCTAATGGATAAAATTAACTAGTGTCTATAAAACAATTAATGTCCAAATCTACATTCACGCCTAGTAGGGAGAGAGATTGTAACTCAAAAATCCACTTGGTTTCTAATTTTGACACAGACCTTCTTTTATAAATACCCCTCCAATGATGTTTAATAATGTCAATGGCAGTAAATTTCAGGCACCGGGGGTCCTTATTGTGAAATTTTCGATAGTGCATCGATAGAGAGTGCTCTTTAAATCCTTTCGTAATATTCTTAAGGTGCTCTCTTAATCTGTCCCGTAGCCTCCTTGTGGTCCTACTGACGTATTGCTTGTCACACCCACATTCTAGTAAATACACCACATGTGTGCTATTACAAGTAATAGTTGATTGGATCTCATATGTTTTCATGGTGGTGTTAGACTTGAAGAATTTTACAGGTTTCTTGTGTATTCCATTGTTTATAGACAACATACACCTGTTGCAAGGGTAAAAACCTTTGTGGCCAAAATTGAAAGTTAATGGTCTGGGAGGGTTCACTATGTTATACGTAATCGTAATCTCAAGATACTCAGGTAATTCTTGCCCCAACACTGGATTATTCTTGAGGATGAACCAGTTCTTCATAATAATCTTAGCAACCTCCTTGTATTGTGTACTGAAATTGGTAAGGAAGGGCCAACATTTTTCTTTTTTAGTATTTGCTTTGGAGACAAGAAGCTCATTTCTATCTAGGTTGCCTACTTCATGAATTGCTCTTTCCAAATGGACCTTATTGTAACCTTTCTGTTAGGGACCCAGGTATGACCAGAAATGTGTGGGAACACAGGTGTAGTCAGGGCTGGAGAGGTGGAATGGTCAGGCAGGTCGTTTGGTACTGTTAAGCACCGCCTGGCGGCGTCTCTAGCAGCCCACAGCACGGGGTTCCTCAGGGCGCGGGATCTAAGTTCCAATCTGCTTATTCACCAGGGCCCCTGATGGTGGGGATGGACTTGGAGCAGACTGAGACCAGGTTGCGACCCCTGAGTACGTCCAGCAATGGTAGAGAGCTTCGTCAGAGGTGTGTGAGGAAGGAGCCTGACGTGAAGAGGCTGGCAGACCTGGTAACAGGGACAGATCCGTGTGGGATGGATGGATCGTCTGGGTAGCGTAAGGCGTAGTCAGACAGGCCAGGTCAGCAACGTGCGGGCAGCGAGGGTACCAGAGGAGCAGGCAGAGAATGGTCAGTGTCACAAGCCGGGTTCAGTAACTCATGGGCAGCGCGTTACAGAGGATCAGGCAGAAGGATGGTCAGGCAAGCCAGGGGTTAAACAGGAGATGGTTAGCCGGGTCAGGAACAATGATGGTTAGCCGGGTCAGGAACTGCATTGTTCCTGACCCGGCTAACCATCTCCTGTTTAACCCCTGGCTTGCCTGACCATCCTTCTGCCTGATCCTCTGTAACGCGCTGCCCATGAGTTACTGAACCCGGTCGGCAACAGAAGATTCACAGATTACCAGGTACAGGGGATCATGGGAAACAAACACCAAGGCCCTGATTTCAGGCCTGGTCCTGCTTAAATAGACCTCCTGCAATCAGCCTCAGGTGATGGCTTGATTGCAGGAGTGAGACCCTGGCTACTGAAAGCACCCTCTGGTAGGAGTTGGTACTGCAGCCCACAGAGCAAGTGAGCCACAGCACCACCAGTGGTGAGTCCATTCCTGACACTTTCTCTACAAACCTATGTTTCAAAATGCTGGCTTGTGAATTATAGTCCCCCATTCTGTCACAATTTCTCCTAATGCATTGAAATTGGCCTTTAGGCATATTCATGAGCCAATTGGGGTGATGACAGCTATCAAAAGGGATGAAGCTGTTCCTGTCCGTGGTTTTGAAAAATGACTTGGTTAAGATATCCGTGCCAGCGTTGAAAAGCGTAAGATCCAAGAAATTGATTACATTAAAATCATACTGATATGTTAGTTTGATATTAAGATCATTAAAATTCAATGTGGTAAAAATATTATTAAGAGAGAACTCATCTCCCTGCCGCAGTAAAAATATGTCATCAATATAGCGGCGATAAAATATTAAGTTTGGCCATTCCCTAGAGTAAATGAGATCTTCCTCCCAATCCCACTAACAATGGGTCTTCCTGGGGGGTTAATTGGGTCTTTATGCACCTTAGGCAAACAGTATAGAATTGGTAATTTGGGAGATATGGGACACAAAAAATCCCTCTCTTTTTTTTTTTTAAATGCCTGCATTAAAACCTTTCTTAATTATTCCCTTAAGGGTTTTCTTGTATGGAAAAAGAGGGTTTCTATCCAATATTTTGTATGTTTCCTTGTCATCCAAAAGTTTATAAACTTGTTTGAGGTAGTCAGGTTTATCAATAACCACAACTCCCCCGCCTTTGTCGGCCAAGCGTACCACTAGATCTTTTTCTTCCAATAAACTTTTCATCAAACCTTCGATCTGTTTATGATTATCCCAATTTTTTACTCTGATCTTATCAAGATCCTTAAGTACTAGGCCTTTAAAAATAATAATGTAACAGTGGGCCTGGGGATTAAACAAAGAAGCATTTCTCAGGTTGGAATGTTTCATATTACCATCTGCATGGCTATTTGAAATGCTTATGGGAGCGGCGGTTAGAAAATATCTTTTCAAGGATAATTTCCTCGTGAATTTGTGAATGTCGATATAAGTATCGTATTTATTAAGTTTTGCTTTTGGGGCGAATTTGAGGCCTTTATTGAGGAGGTCAATCTCATTTGCAGTAAATGCCTGTTTACTAAGATTGAAAATGCCCTCTGTGTTCACATTCTTCTCTTTTTGTCTGTGCACCCTCTTTTCCCCTCTTCTTCCTCTAACCGTATTCTTCTTTTCCTTGCCGAACCCTTTCCTAAAAAATGGTTCTGCTGCTGATCAGAGGCAGATCGGTGGTTTGATCTGGAATAATTGGCCCTATAAACTTGACTACCTCGAACAAGTTTATAAAATTTGGATGACAAGGACACATACAAAATATTGGATAGAAATTGGGCCTCTTATTCCATACAAGAAAACGCTTAAGGGAATAATTAAGAAAGGTTTTAATGCAGGCATTTTAAATAAAAAAGAGAGGGATTTTTTGTGTCCCATATCTCCCAAATTACCAATTCTATACTGTTTGCCTAAGGTGCATAAAGACCCAATTAACCCCCCAGGAAGACCCATTGTTAGTGGGATTGGATCTTTGTGTTCCCGGGTAGGTGAATACATTGACCAATTCCTCCAACCATTAGTATCTAGTACACCTGCGCTTTTAAAAGATACAAAACAAGTGCTTGTCGACATCAAGACCATTAAACTACATTCCCCCACATACTTAGTAACGGCAGATGTGGCTGTCCTATATAGTAACATAAAACACTCAGATGGCATGGCAGCTGCCGAATTTTTTTTTCTGAACATGGCCACAGACATTCCCGCGATACAAAAGGATTTTATTTTAGAACTTGGATTTTGCCATGAAACACAACTATTTTTGGTTTAGCAACAAGTATTATTTGCAGACCACTGGTGTCGCCATGGGCGCCAAATTTGCCCCTAGTTTGGCGAATTTGTTTATGGCTAGATGGGAGGAAGATCTCATTTACTCTAGGGAATGGCCAAACTTAACATTTTATCGCCGCTATATTGATGACGTATTTTTGCTGTGGCAGGGAGATGAGTTCTCTCTTAATAATTTTTTTACCACATTGAATTTTAACGATCTTATTATCAAACTAACATATCAGTATGATTTTAATGTAATCAATTTCTTGGATCTTACACTTTTCAACGCTGGCACGGATATGATAAGTCATTTTTCAAACCCACGGACAGGAACAGCTTCATCCCTTTTGATAGCTGTCATCACCCCAATTGGCTCATGAATATGCCTAAAGGCCAATTTCAAAGCATTAGGAGAAATTGTGACAGAATGGGGGACTATAATTCACAAGCCAGCATTTTGAAACATAGGTTTGTAGAGAAAGCGTCAGGAATGGACTCACCACTGGTGGTGCTGTGGCTCACTTGCTCTGTGGGCTGCAGTACCAGCTCCTACCAGAGGGTGCTTTCAGTAGCCAGGGTCTCACTCCTGCAATCAAGCCTGAGGCTGATTGCAAGAGGTCTATTTAAGCAGGACCAGGCCTGAAATCAGGGCCTTGGTGTTTGTTTCCCATGAGCCCCTGTACCTGGTAATCTGTGAATCTTCTGTTGCCGACCTCTGCATTGTTCCTGACCCGGCTAACCATCTCCTGTTTAACCCCTGGCTTGCCTGACCATCCTTCTGCCTGATCCTCTGTAACGCGCTGCCCATGAGTTACTGAACCCGGCTTGTGACACTGACCATTCTCTGCCTGCTCCTCTGGTACCTCGCTGCCCGCACGTTGCTGACCTGGCCTGCCTGACTAAGCCTTACGCTACCCAGACGATCCATCCATCCATCCCACATGGATCTGTCCCTGTTACCAGGTCTGCCAGCCTCTTCACGTCAGGCCCCTTTCCCCACACACCTCTGACGAAGCTCTCTACCATTACTGGACGTACTCAGGGGTCGCAACCTGGACTCAGTCTGCTCCAAGTCAATCCCCACCATCAGGGGCCCTGGTGAATAAGCAGATTGGAACTTAGACCCCGCGCCCTGAGGAACCCCGTGCTGTGGGCTGCTAGAGATGCTGCCAGGAGGTGCTTAACAGTACCAAACGACCTGCCTGACCATTCCACCACTCCAGCCCTGACTACACCTGTGTTCCCACACATTTCTGGTCATACCTGGGTCCCTAACAGAAAGGTTACAATAAGGTCCATTTGGAAAGAGCAATTCATGAAGTAGGCAACCTAGATAGAAATGAGCTTCTTGTCTCCAAAGCAAATACTAAAAAAGAAAAATGTTGGCCCTTCCTTACCAATTTCAGTACACAATACAAGGAGGTTGCTAAGATTATTATGAAGAACTGGTTCATCCTCAAGAATGATCCAGTGTTGGGGCAAGCTTTACCTGAGTATCTTGAGATTACGATTACGTATAAACATAGTGAACCCTCCCAGACCATTAACTTTCAATTTTGGCCACAAAGGTTTTTACCCTTGCAACAGGTGTATGTTGTCTATAAACAATGGAATACACAAGAAACCTGTAAAATTCTTCAAGTCTAACACCACCATGAAAACATATGAGATCCAATCAACTATTACTTGTAATAGCACACATGTGGTGTATTTACTAGAATGTGGGTGTGACAAGCAATACGTCAGTAGGACCACAAGGAGGCTACGGGACAGATTAAGAGAGCACCTTAAGAATATTACGAAAGGATTTAAAGAGCACTCTCTATCGATGCACTATCGAAAATTTCACAATAAGGACCCCCGGTGCCTGAAGTTTACTGCCATTGACATTATTAAACATCATTGGAGGGGTATTTATAAAGAAGGTCTGTGTCAAAATTAGAAACCAAGTGGATTTTTGAGTTACAATCTCTCTCCCTACTAGGCGTGAATGTAGATTTGGACATTAATTGTTTTATAGACACTAGTTAATTTTATCCATTGGGACACATTTTAATTAGCTATGCATTCATTTTATCTAATTTTATGAGCTGTGATTTTATATATATTTTTATATGACATATGGAATCTTTTATGTAAAATTATTGTTTTGTTTTTTACCATCAGAGGACCTTTAACGGATTAGTGCAATTTGGAATTAGCAGTTCCATGTCATTAATTAATTAGCAATTCTAACATATGATTTGTATACCCAGGCTACAGTAAAATGGAGTCCCCGTTTTTGGATTTTCCTGCATTTCTTGTGTTTCTATTCGGTTCGATGGAAGCACAGATTCACAGTTATTATATTACATTTTATTATCTGAAATGCCTCTTATTCACCCCTTGAGGCTTTTTGAAGCGTTTGGAACATATGAGGCTGTTATTCAGAAGGACAGAACGTTAATCCTTGCATGTTTGTCCGGGTCTTCTGTTGGTATAATGACAGCCAATAAAATGGCCGCTCCTGTATGTATTGCGTGTGCGCGAGCGGGCCAAAAATGGCATCACTGCTCCTTACCGCGCATGCACGGATTATACTATAAATAATTTCAGTCAGCTAGTGCGCGCTCCCTTTGATAATGCGCTCGTAAGCATGAAACGCATCAGGGTGGAGCCTAGCTGGTGATGCCACGCCGTTTGCGCCACGCGCAGGCCGGCGGCCATCTTTATTACTGCTGTATCCCATAATGAATGTGAGTTCACATCTACCTTACTAAGATACCAATAAAGATTTAAAAATACTGCACTATCAAAGTCTCTGTTTGGGCTCACTAAATTACGAGCCCCTCCTTTCAAGGCGGATTCCTATTTTGATGCCCCATACACTGTGAGAATACCATACTGAGGCTCAGCTATGACCCCCTGCTGGATGGATGATTAACTACAATTGGAGTAGATGACATGCTGATCACCTGGTTTGCCAGATGATCACCTGATTCTTGCCCTTCCAGTTCCAGAGGACCAGGAGTGGTC